ATATCGTTTAAAAATAATGTCTCAAGCCCACGATCAGTCACAAAATCTCCTTTATCAATGACAAAAAATGCTTTAATTCTTCATCATCAAAATCACCACAAAGAAAGTTTGCGTTCATCTAATGTCCATCGACATATGAGACAAAACACGACTAATAGTAAAACATTTAATACAGAAGATTCATTCACAAAAAAATCTCGTACAATAACACCAGATCGTGTTAGTATTCAGTCGAGAAGCACAATAGCATCAACAATTGACAATGGTGTAACAATGAAAAATCTCTCTGAGTGCATTGATCGTGTGGGTGTTGTATTTGAAGAAACAAATGTATCGAATATCGATAAAACAGGAAATAATGGTTTTTTAACAACAATTGATCTCATTCGTGAACAACTCAAACAAAATGGTCAATCACAACAAAAAAACGGTTCACTTTTAAATAAACTCGAACGTACGACTAGCCAATCAAAGCTGACTAATTCATCTTCATTTCCTACAAGTTTTAATTCACATCTATCATCACAAACAATTTTACGATCGCATTCATCTCGAACACCATTAGGTGTTTCGACACTCTCCCCGTCAACTCCATCGTTATCACACCGACAAAGTCTAGGCATATTTTTACCTGGTTTAGCAACGCCAATAGCACAAGATCAATTAATATATCAAAATGTGCCGAATCTACGCTCCTATTCAGCACATGCTGATCAAACACCATCGTTCCGTGTAACACATAAAAGCGAAAGTTCAGCATTGACTATAAAAAATATTACATCTGTACCATCATCTCAGAGTAAAATTCAAGATGTTGTCAGTGATAAATCGATATTAAAACAAGAAGAAAAACAATCATTGTTAAAAAAGAACTCATCCGTTGTTACAAGTTTGCCAATGAACAAAATTTGCAATAGCGTACCAAGACCATTTAGAAAAACATATCAGGATAAACCAACAGCCATAATTGAACCAAATACATATACCATTAACGACAAACTCGCTAAACAAGATAATGTTGAAACACCCGTTACGCCTGAGAATACTGTACCAGTTAATATTGATTCAGAGCATAGTTATGTAAACTTTCCTGGTCATTCACTACCAAAATCTATCTTAAAAATTCAGTCTACCACCACAACACAATTTGAGGATCATATTTACAACAATGAAATAAATGACGCTAATATCGTCCAACCAATAGTGCCGGTTATTGTTGATAATAGTGGTGGTTCAACGAGTTCCTATACCTGTAGTACAAGTAAAACATCAAGCATTTATTCGACGGATTCTAACAAAAAAATAAATCAAACTAATTTACCTTTTACAAAATCCCTCTTGACATCAACAAAATTATCGAGTTCGTGTGCTGATTCTCTTTATGCCATTACAAATCTACCTGAGTATGGAGAATCCCTTTATGATAAAACCATTATTGTTCAAGATTCAAACGCAACAACAGCAGCTGAATATGATTCATTTGACGATGAATTTGATGAGAAAAATCCTGATTATCAGCAGGATTTTGCACAAGTAGAGAAAAGTGTACAATTAAATGATAATACAGACGATGATTCCTTCGATGACACGTTTGATGACAAGTGAGTCCACGAAAATTTGTTATACCTGCCGTTGTTTCATCACCACGACCTCATTTGAAATGAAGTAGAAAGTATTAAGAAATAGTAGTTATTTTCTAGAATAGTTTTGATAAAGAGGTGCAGTTTTAGTGATTATATAGAAGGCTTTTAGGACAATCCATTAGTAAATAGATCAAATTTAAAATCCTGCTCGAAGGTGATTTATCTGATAAATTTCCAAAGAGCAGATTACCATTCTCTGATTCACCATATATGTTGAACCTTAATATTTACGCGAGACCGAGATTTCTATGTATTATCATTTGATCGTGATGTTGTTACAGAAACACTCGCATTGGCCAATTTTACGTAGAGATGCACTGGTCGATTTTACTATGACCTAACCAGCATTTCAAAGCAGGTCTAAGTCTCGGAATCCATAGGTCAGAGTTGAAAACAGAATTCTTCCTAAAACAGCAATTTTTCTGCCAACAATCATTACAGCACACGATTAAAAAATGAAACTAGTAAAATAAAAGTAATGCGATTAGTTAAGAAACCTAATTTGTATACATGTATTTGTGGTAGAATCAAATAAATTAATAAATCACATTCCACAATGAAACATAACCACAATTTGAGAAAATTTCATAGGTCAGGGCTCAGGACGCAAAACTGAGCATCTCTCATCTTAAAGTGTAATGATCTCAAAAAAATGTAACCGTAAGTTATCAACCATACTGAGTGTTTTAAAGTGTTGGTAAGAGTGTGTTGATATGTTTTAAATGAAGTATGAACTTTTCATTTCTGTATGCTAAAAGTTAAAACACGACTATTTTCATCAAACCGCAAGTTCACCAGATTTTCTTCTTTCTAGCAGAATTTTCTACATGATATTTTTATCAAAGAATTGTCCTAAGTATGTTTTATATATAACGAAAACTGCACTTGTCCATCAGAAATTATTCACAAAACAATCGAGTGTATTCTGCGTCGAAATGAATAGTAGAAGATCTATAAAGAATTCCACTAAAAATTGTGTTTTTTGAAAGATGGCGTGATGCTTGCATTTTTTGCCCTTTGGATTAGTTCTTTTTTCTCTTTATTCAGAGCAACAAAACAAGGACAACTGTTGACTTCTCAAACAGAATTTGATCAAATAGCAACAACAAAACCTATAGATAATAAGAAAAAACAAAGTAATAGTTTTCTTCGTGCAACGTTAAATCGATTAAGTTTAACTCGATCGAATAAGTCTCTCGAACGATTAACTACTACTCCGACAACATTCATCTCTAAGGAAGAAAATGAAACGAGTCCAACATCAGATAATATACAAACAAAACGACAACGATCTGAAAACATTCTGTATACTGTTGCTATTGATATGAATACAATTGCAGATGTACCAAGTATAGATAAAAGTTCCTGTGCGGAAAATACTAATCAACAGCCAAGTAAAGTATTTGATTCATCAAAAAAGAAAAGTTTAAGGAGTATTAAAGCAAAACAAGCGGCAAAGAAAATAGGAGGGGCGACGTTTACCAATGATCAAAGTTTTGA